ATTTGGAGAAGACCCAAAGGCATCGTCAAGACTTTTCTTAGGAAGCTAACGGTTTTGGCACCTGAATATGTGGATGGTTGTAATGAGCATCTGTTATTTTTGCTGCATTCATTCATTCACTTATCCTTCTGATAATCTTGCATAGCTTGCCCCCTAGGAACCATCTCTCAGACGACTTGGGCCTGGTGAAGCTGACTCCACCTCTGATTCTGAGGGTGGAGCATGTGTCCTGGGCTCCAGCCAGTCAGCACATTATATTCCCTGGCCTTAGTGATTGATTTATGGAGGCTGTGGTGGTTCAATTCTTGCCAATGCACCTCATGCTTAGGTGCCATCTGTCACTGGAGACTGGTTGAACAGGCTTTCACCAGTATTTTATTCTGTTGTGCATGGGTCCCCATGAATAAAAGGCTAGCTTGATGCCAGCCAATAATAGTGATAGATTCAGATGGGATTCACGGCCAGTCAGAGATACTTTGGTCTAGGATTTTCAGAAAGAAGTTTGAGAGGACATGATGACGAGCTCACATAACCATCTTGTTGCTACATGACATGTGTGTCAGGAGAAGACCAAATGATATGCTCAGAAGAGAGTCCTTATTACATATACACAGATATAGCTGTGTCTCAAGTCAGACGTTTTAGTTTACGTGAACCTATTGTACTTACGTGAGGTTAAGTTGGGTTTTTGATCACTTGTATCCAAAAATGTCTTCACTGTACAAAGATGAAAATACCTAAATCCTATGCCTCCTACAACATGGCCAAGATGATTGGGCTAAAAATATTTCAAAGCAAAAGTAGCAATTGCCTACCATACACACAGAAAACTTTTACAATATACCCATAAAACATGATTTGGACGAACATTATCTTTCTGGTAAACCAAGAAAGTTAAAAAAATGTACCTCCTTGTAACAAAACAATCAAACTTTTATGGAATTGTTGGCCGTGAACTAAATAGATTCTCAAAGTCATCTCAAGAAATAATAGTTTTAATAATAAGAGTAAGTTATTTTTAACCATTCTTTATGAAAATAGTTAATTAGGAAGACCTAAGAGTCTATTGAGACTACCCCTAGTTTGTGACAATGAAACCATTGCTTAGGTCTTTAATAGAAGTCAGTGTGAGCAAAACAACCCATCAGGGACAGTTGGGCTTTGAGAACTTTCTGAGGCAGACAAATGAATTTCACCTGGGAGTGCTTAGCATTAATGGTTTTAAATAGTCCAATTGGTTGAAAAAGCAGTGGCCTGGAAATTAGAAAGTCTGCGTTCTAGTTTCAGAATTAAATTGGCTCACAGGTTTTCCCTGCATCATAATGTCCTTGGGCCTCCATTTTCTCATCTCTAAAGGAATTTTTAGCTAATGCTGACTAGAGTCTCCTCTAGCTTCAAGATTATTATTTAGGGATAGCCAATTTACTTTCTTGTTGTAAAGAGGAAGATTTTTTCATAGAAGTCATAAATAAGTGCTTTATAAAATATGGGAAAGATTTAAAAAGTGACATTAATATTCCATTGTATTCATGTATTAACTTTGTATTCTATACTTGGGCCATTAGTGACAATATGACAAAACAGGGATCATGTCAAAGAGCTTTAAGTATAAAGCATAGTATTCACATTTATATCACACAATTAAGTGCTGTTGAGTTGGTTCCAATTCACAGCAACCTCATGCACAACAGAATGAAAGCCTGTCCAGTCCTGCGCCAGCCCTCACAATTGTTACGCTTCAGCCCATTGCTGCTGCCACTGTGCCAATCGATCTCCTCGGGAATCTTCTTCTTTTTCGCTGACTGTTTACTTTACCAACCATGATATCCCTTCTCCAGGGACTAGGCCCTCCTAATAACAAATCCAAAGTATAAGAGACACAATCTTTTCTCTACTTACCATGTTATTTATTGGCCCAATGGTGAGGATTTCTCTTTTCATTGAGGTACAATCTGTACTGAAGACTGGCACACACTTTTCTTGATTTTAAGCCATTCAGTATCCCCTTATTCTAACATTTACAGTATGGGCTCCTCATGAGTGCAGTTGAGTTTTCTGGAATTCCTGTTCTTTTCAGGATTTGTTATGATTCATTCAGTTGAATGCCTTTGCATAGTCAATACAACACAAGTAAACATTTTTCTGGTATTCTCTGCTTTCAGCAAAGATCCTAAGGAGCCCCTTGGTGGTAGTGGTGCTTATGTGCTGTGGAGTCGGTTCTGACTCAGCAACCCCGCATTGGATTTCCGAGACTGTAAATCTTTACGGGAGCAGAAAGCCTCATCTTTCTTCCATGGAATCGCTGGTAGTTTAGAACTACTGACCAGGAGATTAGCAGGCTGACTTATAACCACTATGCTACCAGAGCACCTAAGGAGCTCCTTAGCTCAACTAAATAAATGTTGCCACAAAGGTGAGCATGCAGAATCTGAGTCTACAGAGATTGAATGCTTAAGTCTGAGAGAGAATTTTGCAAAGTCTTCTTAGAGTTGGTCCTTAGAGGTGTTTGAAGATATTTTAAAGGATGGATGGGGAATTAACATGAATTTAATGTTATTTTCATTGTTATCAAAATAAGTCAAAGGAAGTCATTGAAAAATGAGTATACACATATAAATTTAGATATTTTTCTGGAAAATTTTTTCTAGTAAATTAAGATAATGAGGGCTACCTTTGAGTGCTTGTTAGCTTTTGCACTGTTAGTAATCTCATTAAGTACAACCATTTTACACCTCACTTTACAACTGATATTAAAGACAGATTGTTGTTAGGTGCTGTTGAATTACTTGACTCATAATCACAGTGATTTTGTGTACTGCAGAACCAAACAGTGCCCTCTCCCTTGTCATCTGCACAATCATTGCTAAGCTTGAGCCTTTCAAAATGTCACTGACCCTTTCTCCCACAGTCCTCTGTACTTCTCAGCTGGGTTCCATCCTTCATTGCAGTGGCCACACAGAACTCAGACACCATACTCACAGCTACTCACAGTTACAGGGTTTATTAGGGAAGTGAACAGGATCAGGAAATGCTTAGAGCACACTTGTTCCAGAAAGGATATCCTCTCCTCAACCGTGCCTACAAGCAGGTCTCACTAGACCATATCAGTGTTATAAAGCTCATTTGTTGTTGTTGTTAGGTGCCATGGACTCAGTACTGACTCATAGCGACCCTGTGCACAACAGAATGAAACACTGCCAGGTCCTGGGCCTACTTCACAACTGTTGCCACACTTGAGCCTGCATATCATCAGCAAATCCTGTTAACCACTCACAACTGAATTGTATTATCTATAAGCATTTTCCCACCTTCTTACCCAGACAGGTCAGGAAACAGTCATTTGGTGGGAGTTATAAACACTGTGACTAGAAGAGACATTAAATAATTTACTATACATCAGAGCCCATTATTATTTGAGTGCTTCCAACTGAAGGGACTCATCTTCTCTGGCACTACATAAAACAATGTTTTGCTGTTATTCATAAGATTTCACTGGTCAATGGCTTCAGAAGCATATTGCCAGGTCCTTCTTCCTAGTCTTACTTACTCTGAAAGCTCCACTGAAACCTGTCTACCATGTTCCTGCTGGTACTTGAAATACCAGTGACATACCTTCTAGCACCACAGCAACATGCATTCAGCCCAGTACAACAAACTGACACATGAGTAACAGCTAGAAAATGGCAGAGCTAGGATTTCAAATCATCCATACTTGGCTTCAAGACCCTTATTCTTTCCTTCACTATGCCAGTTCCCTCAAAGGAGGCAGAACTTTCTCCACAGTTCTACGAATATAAAGATTCTAAAGCCTCTTTTGTAGATCCAATTAGTTACTTACCTATAAGTATTTCCTCCATTTGAGTTTATTAGCCCTCATTAGCTTTCCCTTGGATTAGTGGAATCTTTTTCAAGCTTGTTGATCATAAGAATCTGCTGTAGAAATTCCTAAAAGTGCCTATTCCTAGGGGTTAGAAAGCCCAAAGGGAAGATCACGCTCAGCATTTCTCAAGGTGAAAGAACTGAAGAAAAAATTAAAGCCTCGACTTGAAATACTGAATCATTCTAAGGCAAAATGGAGTTGTGCTGTGGTCTGTAGGATCAGCACTGTACTGCAAGGTTAGTTTGAATTGCAAGGTCAGGAGTTCAAACTTACCAGACACTCCTTGGAAACCCTATACAGGGTCGCTATGAGTTGGAATTGATTCAATGGTACTTAACAACAATGGGCAAAATATTGAATGATTGAGAAAGTATCAAAAGAAGATGGAAGGAATACATAGTCACTGTTGTACCAAAAAGAAATGGTTGGTGTTCAACCACGCAGATAGCATATTGTTAGGCCCCCTAGTGGCCTAATCTAGTTGTTGTTGTTGTTGTTAAGTGCCGTTGAGTCGGGTCCGACCCATAGCAACCCTGTACAGGGTTTCCAAGGGTGTAAATCTTTACGGGAGTAGAAAGCCTCATCTTTCTCCCACAGAGCAGCTGGCAGGCTTGTACGGCGGTTAGCAGCCCAGGCTTATCTTTGTTGTTGTTAAGTGCCATTGAGTTGGTTCTGACCCATAGCTACCCTGGATAGGGTTTCCGAGGAGCGGCTGGTGAGCTTGAACCAGCAACCTTGCAGTGCAAACAGCTTTGCAGTCTGGCACATTAACCCACAGTGCCACACCAGGGCTTATCTTACAGCACCACTATTTCTCCTCCCTTAAAGGTTTACAGCCTGGGAACTGACTCCGCAGCATGTAGCAGCAATGTTTATGACTAGTGATAAGATCACTTCCTTGGTGATCTTATCCCCCATGTTTCTGTTGTCTGGTATGCCCAAAAGGTGATTCTTCTTTTCAAGCGCGTTTACATGTGAATTAAGAATCTCAAAAATAAATACAAGAAAAGGCTACCTGAGAAGATGGGCTAAATGCAAAAAAGTAGCATTTGCAGGGCATACCTGTACTTGAGTCTCAAGAATCATTGGACTAGTACCTCATAAGTGTTAGTACTCACTGATGACCGTAAGCCGTTCATCTGCATGACGCTTACTTGTTTAGGAATGTAGCTCAAGTCCTCTGGTCCTAATGATTACTCACTGGAAGCATGGCACTAGATTTTTCATGTCTCTGTCTCCCACTCTCTCAATAGCTGATGACAGTTCGGACAATTACGGGAAACATCTACTACGCACGGTCAGGAACAAAAATTGTTGGGAAGGTTCATGAAAAGTTCACATTAATTGATGGCATTCGAGTGGCAACAGGGTCTTACAGGTAAGTTTCTAATGTGCTCATTGTATATTAATTTAAACTTTTTAGAAGATGCATGTTATGTAACACTAAAAGTGTATTTTTTCCTCCTCAAGAAAGCCATTATGTCGAAGCTCTCCTCATGAGGGCGTCAGTGAGTGTACATTGGTTCATCAACAGCCTTTCACATCTCTATCCTCCTTACTGTGATCATTTTAATAACCTCTCAGCTGCTCCCCTGTCCCCAGTCTACTTTATACATACCAGTAGATTCATCTTACTAAAGCACAGCTCTGACCATGTACCTCATGTATGTGCTCTATCTCCCCTACCAGACTGTGTGAGCATGGTCTGTGTCTGAGTCATCATTGGATCTCCCATTGTTGTTGTTAAGTGCCTTCAAGTCAGTTCTGACTCATAGCAATCCTACATAGCATTTCCAAGACTTTAAATCTTTGGGGAGCAGAAAGCCTCATCTTTCTCCCACAGAGTGGTTGGTGGGCTTGAACCATTCACCTTGTGATTCTCAGTCTAGTGCTTATCTTCTGGAGCCATCGCCCTCCCATCTTGAATGAAAAACAAATGAAGAAGAAGATAGGATAAGCACTCGACTGCTAACCACAAGGTAAGCAATTCAAAACAGCCATTCCTTGGAAACACTCTATATAGGGTTACTATGAGTTGGAACTGATTTGATGGTACTTAACAACAAGAAGAAGCATGTTTTATATCAAAGCATGCCTGGGCTGCCCCTCCACTTCTTTGGGCTATTGATTCCTCTGGAGTCGGGCTGAGGTTTGTTGAAGAATAAAAGGATGGTTTGGAGGGGCCACCAGTAGAGACAGAGCTGTCTATGGCTGTTCCTAGAGGAAGCGGAAATCAAGTTACCGTCCTCTGGTGTCTCACCTGGGTATGTTTGAACTACAGTGTTGGAGGCAGAACAGAAGCTGTCACCTTCAGACTTAAATCCTTCACTTTGCTTCCAGCCTTGTCATTTAGCGCTTCAGTCTAGAACATACTGACCCAGGTTTCTGACCCCACCTCTGCAGTCTTCCTTTGGCAATAGCATCTTAAGGTTGAAAGCACAGGGAAGTTGACTAGAGGGTGGGGATAATGAGGGGTTAACACTAATCTTCAGAAGTTCAGATGGGCCATTTTTACTGATGTGGCTGCCATGGTGGTGTAGTTAGGATGTCTGATGGCATGCATGAGGTGTGTCTGTAGAGCTCAAAACAAAACCCACATTTTTGAAGAAATGCACATTCCAGAGTGATAATTATGTGTCAGCCCTGGGTAAAGGTGGGGATGTGGAGTTTGTGAAAGACAAGGCACTAGGGTTATGAAACTCCTGATGCCTTTCTTTTCAAACAATACCAGCAGTGCTCAAAACAAAATTCCAACTCATTCTTGAGACTTGTTGTTGTTGGTAAGTGCCATCGAGTCGGTTCTAACTCATAGCAACCCTGTGTAGGGTTTCTGAGGAGCGATCTTTTGGTCAAGTGCTTATACTGCAGCACCACACCAGGACTCCCTTTTGAGACTTACTGCATAAGAAGTTTACTAATATTAGGAGGGAACTAGCTTTTGACCCAAAGTAGGACTGATCTATATGAAACAAACCAAGTTCCACATGGTTTCAAGTTTTGAAGGCAGTTCTCATAAAGTACAATCTACATCAGCCTGGAGTCTTGTTTGTAAGAGATAAGAGTTGGTACTGTGTTTTTTTGATCTCTCATTTAAAAAATCCTATTCCTGGCACACATTTTGTGTACCGTTGGGGTGGTTGCAAGAGTCAGAACGTGAACTCAAAAAACTTTATGTAAAATGAAATGACTGATTCACACAGTGTGGATGTATAGAAAGATATCATTGGTTTCCAACTCCATTGACCAAGGGGCGGTAACATTGATCAGAACTCTGCCTCGGTGTCTTGCTATTCTCTCATTGATCTTTAGTCACAGACAGACTCCCTATCCGAAAACAAAGATCTGAGCTTCGGCCTTTAGCAATGACTTCCCAATGAGAGCAACTCCCTATCAGTTTCTGAAAAGTGATTGGCTCCCATTGGTTTACATGCCTGCCCAAGATGAGTCTCTATATCCAAGGGGGTAGGAACCTCTGACCCGCCTGGGTTTCATGCCACACCTGTAGTGAGTGGAGAGGGTGCATAAAGGCACGTCTTCTCATCTTCTCATGTGAGGGGTGGTGGTGGTGGTTACATATCAGTTGTTACCAGAGGAAGGGAAAGGGATGTAGACAGATAGGGACAGATGATCACACCTCAGCTCTAAATGTATTTTGGGCAATGGTATCATTACTAGAATAGCAATATTGTCTCCTTTTGTGAAAATGTCAGCACTAGAGGGGGAAGGAAGCAAGGAACCCTATGGTAGCAACTCATTCATAAGAAGGGAGCCTGACTGAGGTTCTCACACAGCATCCTGGGATGATGTCACCAGCCGGTTGCCTTCCTGGACTAAATAGCTTTCTAGTTTATAAAAATCCTGAGGTTGGGATGTATAGGCTTTCACAGATGGTTAAACACTTACCTTTTTACTTTTATGTGGACACATATGTACATGTTAAGGCTAGTTGAATTCTCAACTAAATGGTAGGGGTAATATCACCAAAGATCTGACTCTCGTATCATTCGATACCTGAGCTTTACTTTGTAGATGACAATAAGTAAACCAAAATTGCTTACCAGTTTCTATCTGTTTTATTCCTGAAGTTTTACATGGACGGATGGCAAGTTAAATAGCAGTAACTTGGTAATCCTTTCCGGCCAAGTGGTTGAACACTTTGATTTGGAGTTCCGAATCCTTTATGCACAGTCAAAGCCCATCAGCTCCAAACTCCTGTCCAACTTCCGGATCAGCAGCAAATTTGACCATCTAGTTGACCAAAAGCCACCATCCAAGGAACTCACACTGGGCAACCTGCTGAGGCTGCGGCTGGCCAGACTGTCGAGTACTCCCAAGAAGCCTGACTTGGAACCAGTGGTGTCCACCGAGGGCAGGGTGGAGACCAAGCACCACGACTCTGTGTCCTCTACCATCAGTGACGAAGACTACCTAAACAGCCATAAGGACGAACTCGAGAGCAGAAAGGCAACTGATGTTGCCACCCAAACAGAGCCAGGAGAAGAGCTCCCAACAGTGCATGTAAGTGACATGGGGACACAGACCAGGGTCAGCACAGCGTGCTCTGGGACCCAAACCACTGTCGCCACCAGGGTAGCCAGCTCTCAGACCGTGATTTGGTCCAAGTCAACCACCACCCAGACAGATGTGGATGAGAGTATCCTCCTTTCTCAGGGAGTGCAGTCTAAGGAAGGGTCACCAGTGTCAAAAATGTCTGTGTCAAGATCATCCAGTCTGAGGTCTTCCTCATCTTTGTCTTCCCAAGGCTCGGTGGCAAGCTCCATTGGCTCCCAGACATCCATGAGAGCCACTGACTTCCACAACCCTGGCTACCCAAAGTACCTGGGCACCCCCCAGTTAGATCTGTGCCTAAGAGACTCGTTCAGAAACTTGAATAAAGAGAGACAGCTTCACTTTGCTGGGATCCGGTCCCGGCTCAACCACATGCTGGCCATGCTCTCCAGAAGAACATTCTTTACAGAAAACTACCTCGGCTTTTCTTCAGGACCCTTTAACAGATCACCAGTTAACTTGCTTACTATCCGAGACATAGCCCTTTACCCCTCCTATCAGTGATTGCTCAGTGGTCAGGGACTCGAGTCTCAGCAGAGTTTCCTGTTGTTGTGGAAAAGGTCTCGTGTCCCGCATTGCTTTCTTTTACCTCTAAAGTCACCTTGACTTTTAGATATTTCTTTGAGTTCTATAAATGGTATATTGCTATTGTTTTATTTTTGTCATGCCTAAATCAGGTATCGGAGTCCCTGGGTGGTGCAAATAGTTAACACTCTTGGCAGTTAACCAGAAGGTTGAAGGTCTGAGTCCACTCAGAGGTGCCTTGGAAGAAAGGCCTGGCAACTCTCTTTTTATTTTAAATCGGCCTTTGAAAACCCTATGGAGCAGTTTTACTCTGACACACATAGAGTAGCCACGAGTCAGAGCTGACTCGATAGAAGCTTTAAAAAAACAAACACATCAGGTGTTGGTTTTATAGTTTAAACAATAGAGGTACAGTTTTTTGCAAAATTTCAACACCCATATTTCTGAAAGAAATATGTGTGGTCTAAGGTGAGGGCTAATATACGTTCTACATTTTTCTTGAGTCGTGTATGCTTCTGTTTTACAGGTTGGAATCACTAGTTTTGTGGGGTTTTTAAGCCAAAATCCTATTTACCTCTCTTTCCTAATAATTTGTCTCTTCTTTATAATGTATGTGTTCTCAGCACAAAATAAATATTTGCATGTACAACTCTGGTCTGGTGGTTGCCTTTTCTCTGCTTGCTGGTAGTTTTCTCTTAATGTCAGGACTATGTCACAAATACACACACCAAATAGGTATTTATGCCTTTTTTTAAAATAATAGTGTTGGGGTGGGAGAAGAAGACAATTCAAATTATAAGAGTTAAAATAACTACGTTATAGTTAGAAGACATAAAGCTAGCCTCAGGGTCATATCTTCCTTGCTGTTGTTGTTAAGTGCCATCGAGTTGGTTCCAACTCATAACGACCCTGTATAGGGTTTCTGAGGAGCAGCGGGTGGGTTTGAACTGCCAACTTTGCAGTCCAGTGCTTATCCTACAGTGCCATACCAGGACTCCATATCTTCCTTAGCAATGTAAATATCAATGTTATCTTTATATTTGAGAAACAAAACTTACCAAAGCAGCAAGCTTTTGCCTATACTCTAGTTTTTCTT